AAGAAAGAAAGAAAGAAAGAAAGAAAGAAAGAAAGAAAGAAAGAAAGAAAGAAAGAAAGAAAGAAAGAAAGAAAGAAAGAGGAAGGGAGAGAAAAAAAGAGGAAGAAGGAGAAAGAAAGAAAGAAAGAAAGAAAGAAAGAAAGAAAGAAAGAAGGAAGGAAGGAAGGAAGGAAGGAAGGAAGGAAGAAAGAAAGAAAGAAAGAAAGAAAGAAAGAAAGAAAGAAAGAAAGAAAGAAAGAAAGAAAGAAAGAAAGAAAGAAAGAAAGAAAAAGAAATAGGGAGAGAGAGAGTGTGTGGTATGTGTGAGAGAGAGAGGGAAAAAGAAAGGGAGGGAGAGAAAGACAGAAAGAGACAAAGAAAGAGAAAGAAAGAAAAATAAATAGGAAGGGAGAGAGGGATAGAGCAAACTCTGTATTATTATTTTTAATTGTTCCATTATTTATCATGTGTTAATATTTTACACTGTCCCTACACCTGGAGTGATTCTACTGCCTTTCTTTTGCCCAGGTCTACCACATATTTTTCAGGGTTTACATGCATTCAATGTCTATAATCCAGAGCATAAATATATGTGTGTTTAACAGAGTTGAAAGGGAGTTTGGAGGTCTTCTAGTCCAAGCCCCTGCTCAGGCAGGAAAACTGAGGATGCCAAACTCTGAGTAGAGGTCCTGGGAAAGGTGTCAGAATAACACTTAGAAGAGACTTTTGGGGGAACCCTATACCATTTCAGAGAAATGGCTGTCCAGTCTTTTAAAAAATTTCCAGTGATTGATCACCCAGAACTTCTGGGGACAAGCAGGTCCACTGGTTAATTGTTCTCACTGTCAGAAAATTTCTCCTTAGTTTTAGGTTGCTTCTCTCTTTGTTCAGCTTCCATCCATTGCTCCATTTAGATCCATTTAGATCAATCCATTTAGATTGGACTGCCATTTGTCAGAAATGGTGTAGGGTCTCCTGCTTGGGCGGGGGGTTGGACTAGATGACCTACAAGGTCCCTTCCAACTCTGATTATCTGTATCTGAAGTCGCAAAGAATCATGTTTCATGTTTTTGTTTCCTTGCAACAAGTTTTGGGTCAGAAAAAGAAGAGCAATGCTTCTTGTTTGCCTCCTGGTGCTTTGGAAAATACATCCCCCCCCTTCTTTGTGGCAGCCCTTAAAAGCCTGTTGCCTATATCACACTCTTGAGTAAAGCATGTGAGCCATTTCCTCCTTTCAGTGGTCCATGAAAGTACATCTATAGTATGCAGATAATAAAGTCAAAAAAGGTGAACAATATTTTTACAGAACTATAGATAAGTTGAGGCTGGGTGACAAGGAATGGCTGGGAGGGGAGGGGCCAGGTGAGGCACCCCTTGATGTGAGTGACATTGAGTTGGCCACACCCACCCAGTCACATGACCACCAAGCCACATCCACCAAATAAGCCACACCCACAGAACCGGTAGTAAAAAAAATTGAATTCCACCATTGGTGTGTATATACAAATATTCTGAATGTAGGCTACACACACACACACACAAACACACACACAAACACACACACACACACACCCTGGATACTGAAGACAAACAACAGGTAGAAATAATTGCTTCTGTGTAAGAACCATTTATCTGAAAATGGTCTAGATAGAATACTAAATAAGCTGAGTCTCACCAACTAAAGACAGAATGGAGAAAACTTATAAATTCCACATCAAACAACATCTTCTTCAAAATATGTGAGGAACATTCTCAAATGGCATTTCTACCCCCAATGTTTACAGAGATGAAATAAGGAAAGGAAATGAAACAATCTCTGATGGCAAATATGATTTCCTCACATAATGCTTATTAAACAGTAGAACCTACTTTCAGTTTTCATATTTAAACTTGCAATGTTTAGGCCAAGGTGGGTTGAACACTATCGGGGGGGGGGGGGGGGGGATGGAAATCAAAGGAAATTATTAAGGTTTTTTGGAACTTGGTAACTTGTTTTCATATTACTTTTATTTTTTTTTAAAAGTATTCTGTATTTGATGGACCTATCTTATTCTGTTATTGTGTTATCTGTTTGATGGTTGCTTGTCTGCCTGTCATGTATACTGCTGAATTGCACAGTGGGCAAATAACGCAGCATAAACCAAAATGAACCAAAAATTAATTTATTTAACATTGAAATATCCATATTAAAAGTTATTAATTTCAGCAATTCATAAATTAATCAGAGCATCCCATCATAATCAAGTAGAATACATCATCCAATTAACTGCTGAAAGGTCTCCAGAAGAGCTCCATTTTCGGGTTAGTCTCCTTGAACAGTCAATGAGAAGATCGGATATAAATCAAATACATGCATCCCAGAATATGTGCTGATGGTAACAAATATAGATGGCTTTCAGAGAAGATTTGCTAATTCATGGAAGATAGAACTACAGATGCCCACCAGCCCTTTATGGTTAATTTGCTCTGTGCAGAAGTAGATATATTTCCAAATGAGAAATGATTCTGTGTACTAAATGCAAGGAAAACCTTCTATTTGTATGTGGCCCAGTTGCTCAAAGCCAGAACTGAATGAAGACAAATGTTGAAAGGGATGTCACTTTGGTGTGACTAATGGGATCTTCATATACATAACACAACAACTCAAAGAAGATCAGTATCACTGGAGTCTGACACATATAAATGGTATTCACCTCCCTCCGTTTATATCTTTTTAATTATTTCCCTGCAAACATTTACTTCCTGAGACAGGGAAATGCCTATTTTTCTGGCGTGGTCAGTCATGGTAGCTCTTCCTTTCTTAAGGTGGGTACAAAGGGCTTGCTCCCAAAGATCCATGCCAGAGAAAATCCTAGTGATTGTCACTTATGCAGTGTAAGATATATGTCTAGCTACTGCTTCCCCCTGGATGATAAGCCTGAGGCAAGGCAACATGTTTAGTGAATTACCCATTGAACATGTCTCTTCTACTTGTCTTCCTATTTATGACAGGTACTATAGCTATTTTCTATCTAGTCTAGATCAATGTTTCTCAACCTATGCTAGCTGGAGAATTCTGGCTTAAGTCCACACCTCTTAAGATTGTCAAGGTTGAGAAATATTGGTCTAGATACAGGCATTTCTTAATTAGTGTTTAATATACATATTAGTTACATATTAAATGAATAATATCTGTGCATGCTATTTTTATTTACAATGTCTTTACTGCTTCCTTAAAATGATAGCTTGGTGGATAGAAACACTGAATAAAGATCAAAGTATCAGGTGTTAGAACATACCGTAGGAAGTCTGCATGTCTTCAATATGATCTTTCCAGAGGTAACTTCCTGCCTATTATGAAAATAGAAAGGTGAGCTAGATAGCTTATTCTAACTGGTTAATATCTACATACTACATCTTTATTTCTTGGGCATATGTTGGTGATTTACTTTAACTGGACAGTTTGCTTAATGCCACATTTAACATATGTGGCAGGGATGGTATTTGCCAAAGTGGGAAAATTATTTATATTCTTGCTATATAACTTTGCACACTATGTAAGCAGATGGCTTGATTCCTTACAAAGATTTCTTCAGAGTCACCTGAAATAAACCTGAAATACAAATATAATATATATATATATTTTTCAGGGTGAACCGGGAAAACCAGGACCTCCAGGTGATACAGGCATTCAGGGAATCCCTGTAAGTATTTTCCATATTTTATCCCATATTTAAAATATAAACAAAGTTACATTTCCAAGCTAACAGAAACTGGGTGTTTATTGAGTCAGGCTGTATTTTCAGTAAGAGCAGCTTTGAACCAAATAGCAAGATGGTGGTGAAAACAAGAAACTTTAAAATGTGGACAAAGTGTATTGTAATGCTACCTGGAAGAAATCTTGTTGCTGACTTGGTTGTATTTGGGGGTGGGGGGGCTTAACTGTAAAAATAAACAATCAAAATGGTGTAATTTTACCATGCTTTGGAGATTTTTTTAATTTTAATTTTAGGAACCAAATTGTGTGCTTGTAGTATATGTATACAGTGGCAAAAGGGATAGGCACTCATTCTTAAAAAGTTAACCAGTCTTGCAAATACAGTTCAAAAAACTGAATTAATTGGAAAATTTCTGGCTGGTTACCTCATTGAGTATAGCAAATTATACACTAGGTACTATCCTGGAAAAGAGTTGACTGGTTGATAAGAGACTGAAGGCTTTAGGGAAGATCAATCAACCCTTGTAGAAAGATATATCCACTGTTCTTGGGTATGTTTTACATTGCATCCATCCATTCACCAAGACAGCTTTTAATTCAAACCCTAAAGACTGTGAGAGAAATTGGTGACATCCTTCATCAATTACCAGTTTTTCTTGTTGAGCATGATAGTAATTTAGTACAAGTCCAAAATGACATTTTTACTTAAAAAAAAGGAGAGGGGGAGTGAAATAAGGCGGTATCTTGGCACTTTTAATTTCTATAGAAATTCTTTGATGCAAAGCAGTGTCACTCTTTTTGCACGTTGACCTGCAACTGTTTTCTGTAAAAACACAAGAGGCTGAAGGCAAATCTTCAAATTCAGGCCTATTATTGTAGAAGGAAGAGATTGGCTACTAACTATAGTAGTGAAAAGCTGTTTTCTCTAGAAACCCTGTCATCTGTTGCTACATTGAGAAAATCAACAGTTTGGTTATTGATCAAATCAAACTATTCAAATAACCGCTTATTCAAATAACCACTTGCATAATTATTCCCACTGGGTTCGCTAGTTTATGGATCCAGGCAATGTCCTTTGTTGCTGTGATGTAGCCTGGGGATGGAGTCAAGCGAGTAATCAGCCTAGAGTCATTACATTCCCACAAGCAATTCAAGTTCAGCCGTCCCCTGAATTCCATTAATCCTTCGCTAGCACCAACTTAATGCTGAACGTTAGTTATAAAGGCAAGAGCAAATAAATCATCTTAACTGGAACTTAATTTGTGGTCCTGATTTGTGGCGTGTTCCCAGATTGCTGAGGCTTGAAATCTGTGAGACTGTGAATACTAGTCCCACCTTACACATAAAAGCTGGCTGAGTGATTTTGGGCCAGTCCCTTTCTCTCAGCCCAACCTACCTCTCAGGGTATTGTTTTGGGGAAAATAGGAGGAGAAAGGATTGTTTGGTATATTCATCACCTTGGGCTACTTATAAAGTAATAAAGATGGGATAAAGGTCCAATAAATAAATTAAAAAATAAATAGATCTATATTTTGCAACATTGAGGGCCTCCCCTCTTCCCAAAATTCATTTAGAGCTCTTCTGTGTTCTGTGAAATATCTACCTATGCTGGATGGCTTTGCATTGATGCATATCTGAATGGATAACTTTTTAATAAATATATGTCATTAGGGTTGGACATACCGTATGTAGGACATATCCATCATTATAATAGGACACATCAATTTCCTTGTGCCTGTTTATTCTGAGTCGAAGCATTCATTTTTCTTATGTTCCTGGTGAATTTGAGGATGTGATGCTTCATTAATTAATATTTGCAGTCTTTCAAGAAAAATGGTTACAAAGTAAAGCAACCTTTTGACATTTCCATCAAGAAATTTCTCCTCAACATTTCAAATGTTTTCAATATCTGATTCTTTTTTTAGGGCTTATCTGGCTCTGCTGGAGCACGAGGTGTTGCTGGCCCAAAGGTAAACTATCCTAGGAAATTTGGAAATAGTCCATTCTCTTTACAGATGGAACTGTTACATATCCCTTCTCTTGGGAGCCTAAATGCGACAATCCCATTTATGGTGTCTTCTGTAGAGTGCTGAGCAGTAAGGCGAAAGAGAGAAAGTTTATTTAGTTAGAAAGCTTCAGGGCTGAGCAGAGATTTAGATCAAAGTCCCCACAGCCCAAATTCAAAATACCAGCTTCTTATTAACGGGTCTACTGGGATTATCATTTTTACAAGCTACTATTTTCAAAAACCCTGAAACAGTTATTGACTCTGAATTTTTATTTCCTTTTGGTACCAGTGTTAAAGCAAGTTAAAACTGAAGTGAGACTGTTTTTTGGTGTTCATATAGCATGAAGTTGGTTAATGAAAGGGCCATTTACTTTGGATTTGTGCAATAGGCTAAACTGCGATATAAATCAGTTAAACAGGTTGGTTGATACAACATGCTAAGCCTGGGGTAGGCAATTAATTTTCCCAGGGGGCCACATGAGAAACTGAGACTGTTGTAGAGGGCCACCCAATGCAACCTCCTCAAACTCCATCACCTTCAGGCTGCTCCAGGTGAGGGTGAGCACTGTGCAGGTGCAAAAAATAGGTTTTTTTGTCCTCCTTGCCCTCCTACAGCCACCAGCCAACTGAAAGAGCCAACTTGGCTTCTTCTCCTGCCTCTTGTGGTGCATTTCTTTACATTTGATTTCTAATTTCCAATTGATCTCACATGGGCCGGACAGTGACAGCCAAAGGGCTAGATGTGGTCTGGGGGGGCCTAACATGTCTAGGTCTGTGCTAAGCCATAAAAGGAAGCCTAAACAAACTGCATGTTCCACAGCTTGGCTGCTGAAGAAGTCTCTTCTCCACCCCTTGGTACTGGGGAACTTTTCATGCAATGAGAAGAGCTCAGGACTCACAGCAACTAAGAGCTCATCCCAGTAACCTCATGGTTAAACTCATTTTGACTTTGTAGCCTTGGGATCTGGCTCTGGAGGGTTGTGTCACCACCCCTTTGTCATGGTTGGATCATTTCTTAGTCTGGCTATAACTTATTGGCTGCCCATATCTCACAAGATGTGGCCCATTTAGATAGTCTGCCTCAAGCACCTGATGAAGCTAGCTACTTTCTGGTGGGTGCTTGGAGATGTTCCTGACAATCTGTTTGGCAAAATCATTGAGTCCTTGGTTTGCTACTGGCAACAGATGACTTGGCCCTTCCTCCGTGTCCTCTCTTGGTTAAGGAAGCACTATCCTTGATAAGTCTATGACTTGGAGGTCTTCCTAAACTTGTAGCCCATACTTAAAGAGTAGGTGGAGCAGAGGTGGTATTCAGCAGGTTCTGACCAGTTCTGGAGAACTGGTAGTGGAAATTTTGAGTAGTCTGGAGAACTGGCAAATACCACCTCTGACTGGAGATTTTACAGTATCCTTCCCCTGCCACGCCCACCAAGCCACGCCCACAGAACCAGTAGTAAAAAAAAAATTGAATCCCACCACTGAGGTGGAGGCTGTAGTCAGGAGAGCCTCACCTAGCTTTGGCAAGCCTACCTGGAGTGTGAGAAGTTGTTTCAGTAAATCATGCCCTTATGAATACTTGGTCAAACTCCTGCAACTGTCAGGGTTCCAAGTAATGGATCCATAGCAAGCAAAACTCAGAGGCAGGTAGATTTCTCAAAGAATTGCTTTATTGGACATATCATATTGGCACAGATCTGGTGAAAACTGACTCTGAAGGTTCCCGCGGTTTCACCTAATTAAAAGTCAAGGTTTGTCACTTTCTCAAAACAATCAGTCACATGGTTCAATCACGGTGCTGTCTGCTTTCCTGGTAACATCACTCCTCCTTCCTCTGACCAAGTGTGAGAATGTCCTTGGTTCCCAAGAGAAAATATTTTATTTTGTCTACAAAATCCCATCTATCTCAACCCCCACCCCACCCCAACACTGAAGCTCCAAGATGGCTTCGGTCAGGTCAGCTTCAGGGTTGACAGCAACATCCTGTACCTGGGGCTGCCTTTAAAGACCTCTTCAAAATTTCAGTTGATTAAGTTAATGCAGCAACCCTTGTATTCCCTGGTCAGACAGCATTAACTTTGCTAATGTTCTGCATTCCTATAAGCTTTCAGGTGCAATTTTTAAGGTGTTGGTGATGACCTATAAAGCTTTTAGCAAGCTACTTTCGGGACTGTGTTTGCTTACATGAGTCAGCCTGACCTATTTATTCTTGTCATAAAGCCCAGTTGGTGCTTCTCCATTGGGAGGTGTTTCTTATCCAGTGCTTTGGAATCACCTCCCATTGGAAGTTAGACTTCTGGAAAGGGTGCAGGCAGAGCACTTTCAGAAGGCATTTAGGATCTAATACTTCTTTTTAGATTTTGCTCTCTGCATTGTATTTTGGATATTTGCTTTCTATAGTTTATCCTTCTGGATTTTATTGGATTCTAAATATTTTAATATGTGTATTCTAGTGAAATTGCAGAGAAGCCTCCAGGGTGCAGTGGGGTACAAATGCAATCAATAAATTCACTTGGGAAATTCTGGGTGACTAATTAATAATGTTTTAATCACATTTCAGATACAATGTTCATACCGGGTTAATAACTATATATTGAGGCTTGGAATAAGCCATTTATTCCTCATTTAAGAAAAGAGGCAAATATTATCGTCCCAGACAACCCAGGACCTCCTGGGTCCTCATTTCAGAGATATGTGCTTACTAGATTCCTCAAGGGCTACAACAGTGATGGAACTTTTAATGTACTGCCTTCACTAGAAAAAAATAGGCTACATTCATGTCACAGTCAAATATCAGCACAGGGAATTTATGGCATTTTATATTCTATCGTAAATTGTTTTATGATTATTTGTATGTCAGAACATGGTGGCTTGCATGGTTTGGATGCTGGGATAGAGAGTCAAAGCCCGAGTGCCAATGTGGGCGGGGTTGAGCTCCCATCCTTTACTCCAGCTCATGCTGGGGACATGAAAGGTGCCCCTAACTGGGAGTGGTGGCCCCAACAGGCAATGGGGATGTCACTGGCTAATCCTTTCAACCCAGAAGTGCCTCAGTGCTTTTGCCATGAGAGCTATGCTATTTTTATGTCATAAAATGTTTTTTTAAAATTTGCCAAAGTTGAGTTCCATGGGAGCCATGGGTCCTGGTTTTTGGATGCATTCCTTAAGTTAGCCCATTTGAGGTATTTTTGTTCAAAAATTATTGCCTTGTAATATACAGTTTTGCTCAGTTAAAGGGCAAAGGAAGGAAGGAGAGTTTTAGTAGTATATTGATTGTATTTAACAATCATTGATTGTGCCCAAGCAGGTTTTTCCGATTTCCATCAGCTATTTCCATGGGGAGGGAGATTGAGAGAAAATAACTTTCCCTTTCAATTTTCTTCTGCCGCTTTCCAGTCTTCTTAGGAAACAATGTATCATTCAAGCAATTGAAATTCCAGGGTGTTTAAAAGTTCCTTGTTGTCCCGGTTCAGCCAACAAACTTTCACTTTCTCCAACTTCCTCCTGCACAATCTTACCCGGCTGCAGGATTCTTTGTGGCGGCCATTGCTGACTGCTGCTCCACTGCCTTGGGAAAAAGGAGTTTAGCCAGCTGAGGAGGGGGTTTGCGATACCCCCAAACCCCTACCCGGATCTCCTCTATCTTCGGTTGCCTCTACGGGGCAACCATATCCTCCAGATCCAGCTGGATCGGAGGCACTTTGGTGGCGAGCGCAGCAGGAACCGCGCACGATCGCGGATTCTTGCCACCGCCGAAGCCTTGCAAACCGGAATCAACAGTTTTGCTCAGTTAAAGGGCAAAGGAAGAAAGGAGAGTTTTAGTAGTATATTGATTGTATTTAACAATCATTGATTGTATTTAACAGAAAAAGAATGGAATGGAATTATATTAGAACTTTGTAGCCTTTTGGATTTGATATAAAAAAAGCACTTTGGCACACCATTATGCCTTTTTGCAACCTTAAAGTAACTGCAATTTTATCCAGGAATGAGTAGCTGTGTTCTGCAGTGAATGAAGCACTTGCTGGAGTTGGAATCCTACAGAGTCCTCACAGTGCATTCAGAAAGTATTCAGACCTTCACTTTTGTCAATTTTGTTATGCTGCAGCCTGATTCTTGTTAAAATTCATTTCCCCCCTCCTTAATCTACACTCACTATCCCATAAGGACAAAGTAAAAACAGAAGTTTAGAAATACCTTTAAATTTATTAAAAAGAAAAAAAAGCAGAAATATCATACTGGCATAAGTATTCAGACCCTTCATTCAGTCCTTCGTTGAACCACCTTTGGTAGCAATTACAGACTTGAGTCTTTGTGTATATGACGTGACAAAGCTTTACACACCTGAATTGAGGGATGGATTTTCTGCCATTCTTCCTTGCAATTTCCCTCAAGCTCAGTCTGGTTGGATGGCGACCATTAGTGGACAACCATTTTCAGAGATGTTCAATAGAGTTCAGTTTGGGCATCCAGCTCTTGGAAGAGTCCTGGTTCTGCCACATGTTTTCTGTTCTGTATTACTGTATTAGCATTCTTGTAATACTTAATTCTGATTGGTTAAGACGCACCGCGCTCGGATTGGCTGAGTAAGCTGCAGTGATTGGCCCATTGCGAATCACCCGCGATTGGATACACTGATCATGGGAGATTCGAAACGATGTCATTGGCCACGGCGCCGAAAGCAAGTTCTATATAAACCGCCACCAATCCGAAGCCCCGACGAGCTGATCTAAGCATGCAATAAAAGAGCTTGAAAATCACTGTTCTCGCGTCTCTCCTTGGGACCGATCTACCGACATAACATTTTCCATTTGAGAATTATGGAGGCCACTGTGGTCTTGGGAACCTTCAGTGCAGCAGAAATTGTATTGTAGCCTTCCCCAGATCTGTGCTTTGCAATAATCCTGTCTCTGAGCTCTGCAGGCCGTTCCTTTGACCTCATGGCTTCTGCTGTGCTACAGTAGGCATTGTCAGCTGGGAGCCCTTCTGTAGAGAGTGTGTGCCTTTCCAAATTATGTCCAATCCATTTAATTTACCACATCAAGGTGGTAAATTAAATTTACATCAAGAGACGTGGGAGGCACCTGAGCTAAATTTCAAGTGTTGTCGCAAAGGGGCCGGAATATTAATGCCAATATAATATTTCAGCTTTTTTTCTTTTTTATACATTTACAGACATTTCCAGGCTTCTATTTTCATTTTGTCATTATGAGGTACTGAGTGTAGATTAATGAGAGAAAAAAACGAATTTCAACAATTGTAGAATCAGGCTGCAGCATAACAAAATTGCCAAAAGTGAAGGGGGTCTGAATACTTTCTGAATGCACTTGTATATAAAATAAAAGGAAGGCACACAACCCTTTCATTCAAAGGCAGAATGAATGAATCACCACACTGGATTAAAAAGCAAGTTTACACATTGTTAGTTACAAAAGAAGGATGCCTATTTTGAAAAATGGAAGATGGTCCATCAAAGCCAAAAGGGCCAGAAAATATAGAAAAATAATTGGCTAAGTTTGCTCTCAATCTCCTTGTAGATGAGGTGGGAATGGGACAGAAAATGATTCTGTTATATGAACAATCTCGTGGGGTCAGATAAGGAGAAAGTAGACAGAGGTGGAAAAATGAAGACTAGTAAAAAAAAGATGTTTAAATAAGGTTGTCTGGTTTCCCACCACTGAAATGGCCTGAAAGTGTCTGTTCTACTTTAAAGGTGCTAAAATCTTTTCTCTCCAACAGGGTGATGTTGGTCCTCCTGGGAAACCTGGCTTGATGGGGAATTCGGGCAAACCTGTAAGATGGTTTCTTTCTCGAGTTCTACCTTTTTTTTTCTAAATCAGAAGATTTGCAATTTTTAAGTATCAATCTTTAAATATATACAGTGTATTGTTCTTGCAATCCCACCCACAGGGAGAACCAGGATTACAAGGAGAGCCAGGATCACTGGGACCCAAAGGCCCATCAGTAAGTTTATATATGTTTGGCTCTGGGTTTAGTTTGAGGCTCTGGATTTTCTGATCCAGATTGTTAAAAAAAATCACTTTCTGATGAGAAGTAATTTATAAACTGGAAGAATTGTAGAAGTGGTGGATTTACATTCACTCTCTATTCTTAGGATAGCACCTTTGTTTTAACTTCCCTCTTTTTTCTCTGTCTTGCTTTGTTTTTTTCATCTTCGCTCTCATCAAAATTCAGTAAAACATATGCTTATATTCAATCAATTGAAGTTCAGAATTTGATTCCTGTTCTAAGACAGTTCCCAAAAGCTATGAGTTCTCCAAAAGTTTTGAATTTAAGAAAAAGAGGGAATTATGAAATATATCTTTGGATAGTAACTATATTAATTGTGTTTAATTTTAATTAAATGCAAATGAAATTTAATCAATTATTGTTTTTATTCTGGCCCTGGCGTTTGTTTTTTTTAAACTTTTCAGTGCATAGCTTCCAGTTTGCAATTCAAAAGCTGAGCATGATCTTTTGACAGGAAATATTTACACACACAGCTGCATTAGGCATAGATAAATCTAATCCCTTTAATTTATACTTGTAATATACATGAAAAGCCAGTGAAATTGCAAATAATCATTATAGGAGGGCAGCCAAGTTAATTTATCATAACCCCAAATCAAAAGGACTTTGATAACCTTTTCAGATTAACATGTTGCATTAAAAGGCATAAGCTTTTGTGAACTACAGCTCATGTCATTGCTGTATCTAATGAAGCGATAACTGAAAGTTTACAGTATGTCTTTTAATAATATTTGATGGTAGGAATAGATGATATCAGACTCTTTTTGATTTTTACATAATAGTGGCTCCCCAAAAGTAGTTTGGAAAAAAATTCAAATGCCGTGATGTACCTACAAAGATCAGAATCGTGCAAGCCATGGTATTCTCTGGGATAGTCCATGAAAGTCAAAGTTGGACTTGAAAGAAGCAGGATAGGAAGAGTATCTATGCTTTTGAACTTTGATGTTGAGAAGATTCCTGACAATACTGTGGACAACCAAGAATATAGAGCACCGCTGTCAAATTTGCGGCCTGCGGGCCAGATATGTCATACACTGGCCACGCCCATGCCCAGTTTAACAAAGGGGGAAAAAGTCCCGATACGTCATGTAATGCCACTGTGACACCGCGAGTTTGACACCCTAATATCACACAATGTATCATTGAACAGATCAGCCCAGAGTTCTCATTCAAAGCATAAACAACCAGGCTCAAATTATTTGACCACGGACACATTATGAAATCTAGTTCTCTGGACAAAGCTATAATACTAGGAAAGTGGAAGGAAAGAGAAGAAGAGGATGGCCAATCACAAGATGGATGGACTCAGTTACAGGCAATGACTGTACCAGGGAACAGTAATGGGAGACCTGAAGGGACAGATTAGGGATCAATCTTCAAGAAAGCCTACCTGTATTGACACTTGGAGTTGAAAATGACTTGGCTTTTCATATAAACCATCAACCAACCAATCAATCAAAAGTAGCTATCTTGCAAAACATTTTCCTATATCATCATGACTCTTGCAAGGACAGATTATCTGGGCCTCTGCAAGAAACAGCCAAATACTGTAAGCAGTTATGGAATTTTATTTTATTTTATTGGAAATGGCATTCCTCAAGCAGAGGATAATTTTAGATACGATAGAATCCTGCGCTACTTTCTCCAAATTGCATGCTTTTTCAGCAATTAGTCATGTACAATGCTCTCAAGAGACCAGTGTGAAAATCAATCTATCTATCCATCCATCCATCCATCTATCTATATCTATATCTATATCTATATCTATATCTATATCTATATCTATATCTATATCTATATCTATATCTATATCTATATCTAT